ACTCTTTCCATTTCTTCCAGAAAGTCGTATGTTTCCAGAGGAAAAATATAACCTCTTTGAAGTTAAAATTTCAACCTCTCTTATACATCACAATCTGTACCCAGCCCTGACAATCTTCTCTCAAAACAACATGATTTTTTTTTAGTCTGATCTAATGGCAAACCACTTTATGATATTAACAACTAAGAGTAACAAACTCAAAAAAGATCAAAGTACAAGCACTAACAGAATATCTGAGGTTGATTCAATCTGGGCAAGATAACAGAATAGAAAACTCACTGATTCTTTCTATGCTTTTAAAGGGAAACTAGCAACTCAAAATACAATTTAAAATTAGGTTTTAACAGAACCCCCCCCCACAACCACTGTTACAAAATGTAAGTACAAAAGAAACATTTCCATGTGCGATACTATCACGTAACCCAAAGTAAAACCACCAGCCTATATTTAAGTTTCCAAGCATCAAAAGTAAATGGATTGGCCCATTTTAAGTTAAAAGTGCTTTTCAGAAAATGCATCCTTCAAATTTTCCAGGCAAATCATTGTAAACAGAAAATAGAACACAACTAATTTATGGTAAATAAACAGCACTAGCATGCTTTTACTGTGTTAAACACTTCTTGGGTTTGCCTTAAGAAACAAATTAAAAAATGTTGTCTTTTAATCAGTCGCAGTAAGAAGTACCAGACTAAGAACATAAGAAACCCCAAGCTTTCCTATTCTCCTATCAAAGTGCTTGGATTGAAAGTCACAATTCCATATACACCTGTATACCCCCCCCCCCACCCCCGAACAGTCACTTGTTAGCACTGTCACTAACAACAACTAGACCTGGATTCAAACCAATGTATTAAGCCTAGTTACTATTCAAACCATTATGACCAAGCCACAATAACTATAAAATTGACGTTTGTAGAAAACACCCCCAAAAAACCAAACCAAGCGAGTATGACACCTAATGATGAATTCTTAAAATATTAATTAGTAAGACTTAGCCATACTGTCACCCATTCCCTAAATTTAAAAACTTCTTTGCAACCTCCTTTGATTCTAAGTGTTTAATTCTCAGACACGGTCAAAAACTACAGTACTCACCCAACTAAGCCAACATCTGCTATAAGTTTGAGATCAAGACGAACAATTCGTTTCTGGCCTTTGGAAGGCAGGAAGTTCGTAACCAAATCACCACCAAGACCACCACGAGCTACCAATAATCTGTCTCCTGCTTTATTAAGTTCTCCTGAAAAAAAGTTACCAGTCAGAAAACAACACAGCTCTTCTGCAACAGTTACAAATCGTGATTGGTAAGAAAATTTGCTAAGAGAAATTCTACAAGGCTTCCAAATAAGCCCCCTTGTACAGGGTCATGGTGCATGTATTTTTTTTTTAAATCAGAAAAAAAGCGTGCAACAAAAATTCAAATTCTCAGCACTAAATTCTACTAGGTTAAGTTTCACTTTAAAGCTAGTACCCCTTGAAAAGTCTTAAATAGTATGGTATTTTGGAAACAACTGCTACTCAGTTGTATGCTTAAAATACGATCTCTTCCAAAATATTACTTTACAGATGGTCAAAAAGCTTGAGGCTGAATTGATTCAAACTAGGCAGCTTCCTCCAAGCTGCATAGGTTGAACTGCTAACCTGCTGAACTGACATTCAGTTTTTAATTGGGAAAGGCAGGGGGAGGTTTGCACTGACCCAGGCCAGTAGGTAGGAAGCTCTCGAGCATCTCTCTCAGCCTGCTGGCCATTGCCAGCCCAGCCAAGTGTCCACAACTGGCTCCTCTGGTACATGCTTCCAACCCCCTGCTGTCTCCCCAAAGGGGGTTGAGGAGCCCCCTGTCCAGGTGCTGACCCACCTTGGGGGAGCCTCCCCCTCAGGAGCTTTCTCCCAGCCTGGGTTCCCCAGCCCAGGCAGCCCTGGGGAGCTGAAAGGAATCCCACCCTTTTCCTTTCCCTGCTGCTGATTGCTTCAGCCGCTGCCACAGGAGAGAGGGAGAAGCAGTCCTCCCAGCCAGGTGCCTGTCCCTGCAGTCCAGCATGGGGGCACTGGGGAGTCCCTGCCCTTTGCCTTAGCTGCTGGAGTCTCAGGGATAGTCTAGGAAGCAGAGGGAAATTCCTTTGCTCCCCTGCATTAGGTTAGCCTGAGACTCGTAGCAAAGGGAAAACTGGCTGCATAGGAATAGGAGAATTTCCCTCTGCTTCCTGAAGCTGACTGAGACCAGCAAATGTTAAGGCAAGGTTTGGGAGGGGAAGAATTCCTCTCAGCTCCCTGGGGCTACTCTGGGCTGGGGCAGGGGGAAGCCCCCCAAGACAGGGGCTCCCCAGTGACCCCACACTAGGCTATATGGGCAGGCACCCAGCCTGGAGGACTCCTTCTTCCTCTCTTGTGGCAGCAGCTGAAGCAATCAGCACCTGGGAAGGGGGAGAGGGCTGCCAGGATCTGAAAAGCCCCCACCACAGGGGCTTTCCCTCCTCTCATGTGTTGTGTAGACCCTGGCCAAGGGGATCTGGCGGTGTGTTCCCCTGCCCCTATGGGCTGACAGATGCAGGCAGGAAGCAGGCTACGGAGCAGAGGGGTGAGGCAGTCCCTGCTCCAATGGAGCAGGCAGCATAGGCCAGGACTGCAAAGCATCCTGGGATGCTGGAGGAATGCAAATTAACATGGACTGGGAAGGGATCTGGAACAGAAGTTCCATAAAAGGGTTTGAGTAGTATCAGTTAAGTCTGATACTACATCCAACCAGGTTTATCTTAAACCCATTTGGGTGATTTTGAAAGTGGTTTATGTGCTTCTGTTCTGTTACAGGTTTAAACCAGTTTCCAATCACGTAAACTGGTTTACATACAACTTCTGTGCCTAGCCTAAGTATATAATAGCAAAAGTTATAAAAACTGCAGAAGTTAGCTGGATGTTGTTTGAACAAGAAAAGCTACACATGTCAATGTTAGAAATGTTTTTAGACATATCTATAATTTATTAATCAAAATATTTCAAATTTGAGAATGACAATCTATTTTAGGTGCTTGTTGTGCAACTTATTTTCAGTAAGTCTTAAACTTTAGTTGAGACAGCTCTCAAGAGGCAGAAATTCAGCAAGGACCTTCAACCTTCTAACCATGTTTTGTAGCAGATAAACAACAGTTATCCAAAGATCAATGGCTCAGAGTAAATCTAACCTGGTTTTAACCTTTAATTCCAGTTTTCTTGTACTCTAGCTCAGTGCTTTTCAACCAGCGTGCCATGAAAAGCTCCCTGGTGTGCTGCAAGAACTAAATGTGAATGAAGTGAATCTGATTTGGATCCGGTCTTTGTTCCGCATCAAGGTCCCAAATCAGATTCAGTTCAGTCGGACTCAACTCCTTCGAACTTGCTCCTTGTCACACACCGAGGTCTAGGGAAGAATCCAAAGGAGCTGAATCTAATTCAGATCTTCTGCGTGCTCTGGACGCACAGTGAACCCAAAAGAGCTGGATCCAGACTCAGGCTATGCAGGGGTGGCGCCCCTGGGCAGGGGCAGGGGTTGGGAGGCACAGTGCTGCTGTGTGGCTCCAACGTGAACACGTGGGGAGGCAGGCCTGGCACCAGTTGGAATCACCTGAGGAGGGGGAAGGAGTTGCTGCCAGGCCCGGCCTCGCCAAGAAGCTGGGTGCTGAGGGGCCACAGCACATGCAGGTCAGGCTGGTGCCATCCCAAGTCAGGGTAGCGTGGGGCAAGTGGGAAGGCCACGCAGGCCCCATACAACACTGAGCACCCCCCACCCAGGGCTCTTACAGAGGTATGTTAGGCTCTGTAAGGCCAGAGGTACCCATTGGGTGCTTCCCAGAGGCCAAACTGGGGGTGGGGTTTGGACTGACCTGTGCCAATGCTCCTGCTGGTACCAGCCATGCAACATCTTAGCTGGAGGGTCTTGCCCCTGTGCTTAGGGCCAGACCAACACTGTATTGCGGGCAGGAAGGAATTTTACCCCTTGCTCAGACTGGTGCAGACTGGGGGGGCGGGGAGGGGGTGGTGTTTGCCTTCCTCTGCAGTGGGGTATGGCTTCTGCCTGGGGTGTCTCAAGCATCTATTCACCACCTTTGCAGCAGCAGAACACTGGCTGTTGTAGTCCCCCTGCTTTACGTGCCAGGGGTGATGCCCGCTGCTGTGTCAGAGGTGACGACATAGCTTCTGCACATGGAGTTTTTCTGGAATGGTTTGCACAGGCAGGGCTTGGGCTAGGTCCCTGCCAGCCCCTCGGCTCTAGGATGCTGTGATTCTATGCCACGCTGCTAGTCTCCCAGGCAAGTAAAACAGGGGTATCATTGCCAGAAAGCGTGGTGCCGGTGGCTGCCTCATGCAGGGCACAGAAACATCCCATTAACACTGGCATCTAACACCAGCAAAGACTGTCTATGCCCTGGACTCCCTGTCCCTACCCCTTCTGGTGCCAACGATGGTATACAACATCTGAAAATCTGTAACAGGTGTGCTGCAGAAAATTTTTATTAATGTAAGTGTACCTTAGGCTGGAAGAGGTTGGGAAACACTGCTCTAGCCAATGATACAAATTGACCAATAGTTACATTACTGGAAGGATCCTCAGTTATTGGGAGTTTCCTCAACGTGTTTTTTGTCTCTTGAACATACTTGTCTAAGCATAGAAATCTGTCTGTTTTGTCTTTTAAGATTAAACGGCTCACAAGAAACATTAGTCAGCTGCATGCCAAATTTTTGTTAGATACTAATTTCTAGATGCCACCCATCTTGTATACAGATGCTTTAAAAAGAGGATAGAAAGTTCTTACCAATCTTTTTTCCATCATCACTGGTGACTGTAATTCCCAGAGGCACACCAACTTCGCAATCTTTTCCTTTATCACCTTTCAGTGCTCTGACACTATCACAAGTTAAACCAGGGTTAGAAGCACACAATGGGTATTTTCCTCCAAATTAAAACTACTTCCATCAAACCATGTGTGACACCCTTACCTACTGTTGGCTCCGCTTCCAGCCGCAAACCGCTTGTGGGGATATCGGGCTTTAATGCTCTTCAAGTTAATTTTTTCTCTAGCTACAAACCAGACGTCACCGCCTCTCCCTCCTTCTCCACCGAAATGAGGGTAGCCCATTCCGCCAGTGCCTCCTTTCACATGGACTCTCATATTATCTATGAAGTTGCCATACTGACAAATAACATGAAGTCTTTCATTAGTCTTTTAATCACTGCTTAAACATACACTGCACGCTCTTTTGTCAGAGACTGTTTCCACGGCCTCTGGACATAAAAAGGTTAATAACAAGAATCATCTGGCAATAACCAGCTCAGGACCCCAGTACCAAGTCCCCCTCACTCCAGGAGAGCTCTGCACTTTCTACTAAGGGAAACCTTTGCTTTCATCACTGCCTGGTACTGCACACGGGGCTAAAAACAGACAGCAGGTTTGATTTGCATCAGTTGCATGTGGCATCAAATCCAGGCCTTGCAGGGTGGACACCTGACAGGAGACTCGTAGAGTCAAAGACTGGACGGGGCCTGGCAGCATCACCGAGTCCAGCGCCCCGCACGGGGCAGGGAGACAACTGGGGTCACGTCAGCGGCACAACAAGAGGTGATCCTGGCTTGTTGTCCCACTGCTCCGGACCCCTCTGTGGCCTGGGGCGGCAGGGCAAAGCGCTTCCTGGCGCGGGCAGCCCCGCGGAGCCAGGCTGGGGACCAGACACCTCGGTGCTGCCGGAGCCGCGCGGGCAGGGGCCGCCCCGCTCCACCCCTCGCGGCCCGCTTCGCCTCGGGCGGCTCACGCCCTGGCGTGGCC